AGCAGAAGTGAGATCCTTTTCAAGCTCAGATAACCCCTCCAAGCAATCAGAGAGCGTAGGCTTCTTATCATGACAAGAATAAACTAACTTAAAGTTTTACTAACTACATCTTTCGAAAGGAAATTCTTAAATGTTCTTTTTTTCTTGCTGAATTGACTAGGTACCTATTTTAAGTATTGCGGAGTATTAAAAAAATCAATTTATAATGAAAAAAGGCCTTGATAGGTAAAATAACTTCTAAGATAGTTATTACAAGAAAAATTATTACTTACATTAATCTTTGTAAAACTTTAAGATTTATTATTGACTTCATATATTTTCTTGAACTTTTTTTTGAGAAAAGCAAAATTTTGAATCACAGACTTTCAAATTTTGGAGGAGCTGAATGAATTAAAGAAGTTGTTACTAATAAAAACTCATTAGGCATATTACATAAAATAAACTATATTACATTAACCATTACATTAAATTAAATACAGCCAAAACCATTGTTTTATTTTTTTAAAACGGAAGGCAAAAATACAACTTTAGGGTTAAATACATTTAATCAAATAAAATTTCTTTAATTTAAAACAAAATGAAATACAAAAACTACAAACACATTAATTCTAGATTCCTAAATGCATATTTAAATAAATGCAATACGAGTTTTTGAAATACAAAACAAAAATGTAACATAATATTACCAAATACAAATATGTATTTGACCAAAACATATATCAACTGACACTTGATGTAGTTGACGCTTCTAAAAATAAAATCTTAATTAACAAGTAAATAAAACTTATGGAAAAGTAAAAAATATTGTTACAAGTGTTATTTTTTTAACATTAGCATTTATTTTTTTTTAATTTTTCTGTTCAACTTTAAACTGTATCTAATTGATGTTTGACACTATCTATTTCTAAATTTTAACTAATACTACAAATTCTACTAATTTTAGCTAATAATATATAATTAACTAATAATAACTAATAATTCTAAATTTTAACTAATTCTACTAATTCTAAATTTTAACAAAACTCATTTTTATTTTATTTATTGACATTTATTTTGTATTTTTAGCAAAAACAAAATCAGGGTTTAATTATTAAAACTGACGCTAAATGTAAGGATTTTAAGGAGACAATTTTCTAATATTTAAAGAGATTTGGTCACAAAAGACAATCTATTGAAAGAAAAGATAAGCTGAATTAAGGAGAAAATAACTACATTGAAAACAGAATCTTATTTTTTTCAATAAATTTTAAATAAAAACAGAAAAATTATTATAAATTAACATATTACTTATAATATGTATAAATTAACATATTACGTATAATCTATTCACTTTAATAAAATTTCCTAGATGATAAAAAAAAATAAGGAGAAATTAAGGAAAGTTTCTTATCGGTTACTTAGTAAATTGCCAATAACATTCTAACAAGTGATAAAGTGGTTATTAATATGTTTGCCACTTTTGGCTGCTGCCACTAATGGTCCATAAATGATTACCAAAACTGCAATAAATGAATGATTACATTATATAATGAAACAAATGATTAATTATATATGATTACATTTTATAATGATTACATTATATAATGATATAAATGATTACATTATGTAATGAAACAAATAAATGATTACCAAAACTGCAATTACCTAAAATGCCTATATAGATCCACTGAAATTCTGATTTAAATGTTTTTGCTGTGTTATATATTTTTTACTAAATACTAAAACTAAAACCATAAATTTTCAAAAAATTATTATAAAAAAATCATTTCAAAAAATATTAAATCAATTCCATCTTTAAATATACTTTTCTTATTCTTATTTAAGTTGGATAAGTGACTAAAAAATAAATTTTATCAAATAATAAATATAAATATTGATTTTAATTAAAATTATTCATACTGAACTTTTAAAGAATGATAAAAGAGAAAAATTATTTACATCTATCGTTTAAAGGATACTTTTAGAAGTCAGATAGTAAAAGAGTAGGATAAGTCACTAAAAAATGTCTAATTAAAAAAATTAAACAAGTCATAACAGTTATATAAGAATCAGGTGGGTAGAAAATTTCCTTTTTTTGTAAAGGAAATTTTCTACCCTCCTATCTCTTATATAACTGTTACGACTGGTTTAATTTTTTCAATTAGACTTATTTTTTAGTGAAAACTTTTGAACTTCACTAATAACTAATTACTAAAGTTAAGTAATTAGTTATTAGCAAAGTTCAAAGCTTGATATTGTAATATTTCAAAAAGTTCATTAACTAATGTACTGGTCCAATTATTTTGATTAACGTACTGGTCCAACTATTTCGAATCTAAAAGTTGTTAATTAAAGATATTGAATTATATTGAATTATAAGCATAAACTCTCTGTCTTATTAATAGGTTTTCCTTTTGAAAAATATGACTATGCATGAGATTCTGCGATTTCTAAGTCTTTCAAACAGTCAGAACTTGGTTCTTGATATAGTATATCAATTATTATACTTGAAATACTATATCAAGTGTCAAGTATATACTTAGTATATATGTTAAGTATATACTTAGTATATAATAAGTATATACTTAGTATATATAAGTATATACTTAGTATAGTATGAATGTTGCTAAAGTGGCGGTAAATACCGCCACGCTGAGCTTTAAAATTTGCTAGAGTCGCGGTAAGATTCATGACGTAAAATACCGCCACCTAAAGTTGATATTTTGCTAAAGTGGCGGTAAATACCGCCACGCTAAGCTTTAAAATTTGCTAGAGTGGCGGTAAAATGCAAATTAAGCAAAACCATCACAAATAGTTAATATTTTACTAAAGTGGCGGTAAATACCGCCACAGAATTATTTATTTTGCTAACAAAACGGTTTCGCTAAACATAAAATATTGCCCGAGTGTCAATAAAGTCCAAGTATAAAAATGATTAAAATATTTTAGGCTATTTATAATTTTTTTTTGAATTTATAAAGTTTAATTTTTTATTTAATTTAAGTAAAATAATACAAAATTACTTAGGTTAACAGCAACTTTTGTTTTTCGCAATTCCTCCGATCTGCTTTCCCTAAATATACTTAGTTTAGTACTTATAAGTGCTTTGAATTACTTACAATAAGTAATTAACAACTCATTAGTAGGCATACTTGCGCAAGTAAAAGAATCGTCAACTAAGTCAATCTGCATTACACCAACGAAACAAGTCGTTTCGTTGAAAGAAATAGGTTGGTTGACATGATAGCTAACTGTGTTTAGCCCGAAGAAAATAGACTTGATTTTTTTATCACTCAATGTCAGAAAATTTAACTCTTCTGGTTCTTTTCCTTAAAGAGTAGAAATAGTACAATTGGTTTTCAGGCCTAATTTCGAACTAGCAAATAAGGCGGTTTCCTATTGGCAAATTTATTGTTAATATGTTAATGCATATATTAATACTATATGAAGAGCTCATTTACCAAACGCATAATTTGCTAGTGCTAAAACTAAGTAATTTATTTTTGATTAACTAACGGAAAAGGCAACTATATATAGTTGCACATCAAAAAAGATTTTTATATCTATTTTTACGATTAAGAGTCTTTTAATTTGTCTAATAAATTTCAATACAGGGTTAATTGACCAAATCCTAGCAATATCTTTACAAATTAGTTTCTAAACAGATTTTAACAAATATACGACTAAATATAGCCTATACGACAATAGGTAAACGGATTTGTCAAGAATTCAGGCACTTTGACCTTATTTCAACCGAAAAATTTATAGATTCTGGAATATTGCAAATCGAAAATAATGCAAATACTTATATTATAACCTATAACTTAGATTACAAGGTTAACTCTTAATTCAATTTAAAAACCATAAATCTAAATATTATTAAGTAAAAAATATTTTAGCGTTAAATATTCAGCTTTTATTTTTAAAGTCACTTATCATTAAGCTAGTTTTATTAAATGATGTAAACCTATTGAAACAAAAATGTTAGATTTTCGGATGTATGAATTAAACTTCTGGATGTATGAATCGAAATTAGTTCTTTCTGCCGGGTGCAGCTAAGTCAAAAATACAACAAATAAAAATGACTCGGCATAATCTCGAAGCTAAATAATATTTTTTAGAAGTATATTAACAACTTTAAAACATAACATTGTAAGTAATTTATATTTAATATTTCTCACCTTTAAACTAAAAAAAATTTATCATGGAAAAGCAATCAAATAAGAAAAATTAGCAAAATTGTAAAAAAGACATAAAGAAATCATAATTACATAATAATCACCATAATTTAGTATGACATTGTTGTCTTGAATAGTGAAACCGAATCTTATTTAAACACGACTGTAATCGTTTCGAAGAAGTTAATGATCACAACATCCATTCCCAAAATTACATGTCAAGAAAAAAAAAATTAATAGACACTTCATGTTGATTAGCTTTTAGCTCCCTGACATGTAAACCATGTAAACAATGTATTACTACAACTTGATCATTTCAGCATTATTTAAAATTATAAAAGGTAAATGAAAAAAGTAAATAAAAATAATAAAATCAATATTTTTGCAGTGAGAAACTTATATTACATTTACATTAAAATACCATTTCAGTTATTTCTTTTTTTCCACATGTCAAAATTAATTCATTATAGACACTCAAAATAATATAATTTACCTTTATCTTTTTTTTTTCTTCCAATGTATAATTGAAAAAAATGCTTAACTTAAAATTCCCTCATATTGCTGATTTATTTGTTTTATCAAGACCTACTTTGATTCAAAATTAGAAAAAAAAATCGCAGGGTAATATATATATATATATATATATATATATATATATATATATATATATATATATATATATATATATATATATATATATATATATATATATATATATATAAATGAAGAGGAAAAAATGTAAACAAGCTAGTATTTACTATTAATCATATTTATATTATCACTATATTTTATATAAAATATTTTACCAATAGTATATAAATATATATATATAAATAAGTCTCTCTCTCTATAAATTTATGCTAAATATATAAATATAAATTATAATATATAACTATATAAACACAAAAACTTCATTTTACACTAATAGTTTATGTAAAAACCATATGTTGAAAAGTATTCAATGTACTAACCACATTGTTTGCACCTAAACTGTTTACTTGACTTGAGTTTCTTGTTAAGACCAGAACAATAAGAGTGACACCAACCATTACAATGATCGCATTGAATCCAAGGAACTGTTTTAGTACTTTTTTTAGGAGGATCAACAAAGCCACATTCCTTGCAATTGTCATTTTGTTGAAATTGGCCTACACTACTTTCTGTTATACTATTTTGCAGAGATTCTGAGATCTTTGGCATTAAAGATGATGGCTTAGTTGTTTTATTACCAAACATTTTAAATGCTCGCTGTTTGGTCGCAGCTGGCCTGCCACGGACCTTTGGTATTCTGGCAAAAAATAACTCTTCTGTAAAAGGTTTCTCAAAAGAACACTGCTCATTAGATTGAGTTATTGAAACAACATTTGTTTGAGCCTCAGTAGTTTTAACAGTTGATGCAACATCAGTTATTGCAACATCATTTATTGCAACATCAGCTATTGCAAAATCAGTTATTTCAAAATCAGTTACTGCAACAACATTTGATACAACATCACTAGATGCAATAATGGCAGTGTCAACACTGCAATTAACAGTTGGTTGGATGTCAGAAGCTTTAACTTACTTTGACGAATCTGAAACCAATGCATTGTTGTTCAATTCAAAATAAATTGACTCAATGTTTGTTAAAGCATTAAGAGCTTCTTCTGGAGTATTATTAAAAATAAATTTTTGCAGACGTTCCATACTTTCGTAATATAATGGAAATGAATTATGTAGCTGACATATGATGCAATTTCTTTCATTAACAACATTATGGAATTGAATCTTGAGGAACGTGACAAACTTGGAGTAACACGCGACATAGAAATGGTAGTGTTTTGTGAAACATTGGCCAAGTTTGGTGTATTAGTAGACAAGAGCCACCTGCATTTTTATACTTAAATAATCATTTTTAACAATATTAAATGTGCTGTCTAAAATAAAAATATAAATAAAAGCTCAGTCACTAAGAAAACCCAAAAAAGATGAAACCTACCTTGAAGCAATTGTTTCCGGTCTAAACAAGTCTATTTCACAAGCAATCCATACTGCAAACAAATGACAACAAGGTAGTCCCATTTCTTTTTGAAAATTGCACGAACAGTTAAAATTAAGATCTATTAAATATGCATTAAGTGTAGAAGGGCTGGTTACCACAAACTCTGATGTGCTATGATTCTATTATATTAAAAAATGCACTCAATTAAAACACAAGCTATAACAAATGTTATTTTAATAAAAGTATTAAATATGAACAAATGACAATTAAATTACTTTGTTAATAGTATACCCATTACAACAAGCCATCTCTACCTCATTTTGCAATAAATTAGAAGAGTACCGGGTACATATTTTAAAATATTTTTCTACCAAAGGAGAAGATTTGTTGCCTGTTACATTTTTTAATGTATTTTCAAAATCTCGATGAACAGATTCCATGGATCTGAGAGATGACATACCCAGTAAATTGTTGACTAATACATCCATATCAACTCTCGAAGAAGGAATTAATTTCTTTAAAGTACCATGGAAGCTAAAATGAAGTCAGTAATATGTATTGCTATGATAATCTTTTTTAAAAAAAGAGAGTTTTCCACACTAGTTTGGTTTAGGTTGTTCTCCAAAATGTTTTTAAATGCCATTATGGAAGAGTTAAAGCAATTTATTTAAAAATGAATGACCTTCCTGAAAACAATTGTACTGCATTACATGTTACCAGTAGTAGGATAACCCGACCTGACATAATTAATGTAATGACATTTATTTTAAGCAATTAGACAACTATAATAAACCTTTGCACAATGGAAGAAAACAAAATAACAATTCTAGATAACAGTTTTAAAAAAAATAAACCTCTCAATTCGATTATTTGTACAATTGCTAAGGTGACGTACACATTTGCGACCAAAAAGCTGTTATAGAATCTTTATATGGAATCCAATTTTCCACAATATATTGGTAAAAACATGGTACTTCTTTTAAATTTTCAACAGCTGAATTAAACTCCAATTCAGTATTGGCATTCAGCATCTTTTGTGTATACTGAATAAGTGATAAAAAAGTTTTATGTAAAGTACATAAAAGGTAAATGTTATAAACAAAAAACAAAACAAATAATCAATATATAAACAATAATAATTAATAATTAAAACATTAAATAAGTAAATTCATCAACAATAACAAAAAATCTAGAAATTTAAACATATAAGCTTTAAACTATTTTCATTCATTTTGAAGCAAAATCTACATTATGTACTTACTCGACAGCACAACTCATTTTGTGTCTGATCAAGACATAATAGATTTAAATGCCTGTCTATGGCACGTCGGAAATGGAAATAGCATATTTCTATGTCCTATGTGCCATAGAACAATGTTACAACTTTAACATTGTTCCAACATTTATTTATGGCATTAATTTCTGCAACATCTTTATCTACAACAACACATTGTGTTTTTGACATGTCATTGCATTCTGCAAAATATTCAAGAAACTTTTCTATGTGAGTTTGATATGAAGAGACAAGAAACTTTTCTATGTGATTCACTGGTCATTATGGCAAATGCAATCGGCTGCCCAACGCCATCGCAGTCTTCCACCAACAAAGTAAACAGAGGGTAACGATAATTATTTGTCTAAAAAGTATATTTGTTCAACATTTATAAACACAACCTAATACAACTAGAACCCCTGGCATATTATATTTTTTATGATTTTAAACACTATCACATTGCAATGTAGCCTTGTCGAGAGCAAAATTGCATATCTGGTTATCGGCAGTGCTACACCCCTACATAATTTCCTTCCTTTTAACTCAGCACTAAACTGGTCTCTACTCACAATACCTTGCTTATTTAAGACTTTTTAAGGAGTAATATGGCTTAAAGAGTGTTTTTAAAATCAATTATTGATAACTAAATAATGGAAAGCTTATCAAATTAATGCAATTAAATTAAAAGACTTTACAAAAGAAATTATTTATTACAAAACAATATTTTTTAATAGGAGAGGAAGAATGCAAATAAGGAATTTTAAAAAACTTACTACACTTTTTTTCTTTTCCACTGAACTTTTTTTTTTTTTTTTTTAAATTTATCTTCGCTTCCAACAAGGTTGCAAGCAACCACTAATTAGTGTTGGAAGTTACTGGAAGAGAAAAGATGAAGATTGTAGAGCAAGATAACGATTGACAGACGACTTAAAATATTGCAAATTATATGAATTATATGAAATTATATGAAAAGATGAAGGAAGCCAATTCCAAAAAACTGGTGTTCGAGGAAAAAAACTAGACAAATAAGAGTTTTTGGAGCACTTAGGAACAGTAACAGAAAAAGGATGAGACTTAATTGAATGACGAGTAACACGAGAATGAATTTTAGTAGATGGCACAAGAGACGCTAGCTCTTTAGAGCAGTGCCCATAATAGTATTTGTAGAAAAGAGAAAGAGAAGCAACATTACGACAATGTGACAGAGGTTGAAGGTTGGCTGCAAGAGCAGGCCCAACTATGTTTACAATGCGTTTTTGCACCTTGTCTAAAAGAGAAAGGGCATCATCAGAAGATCCGCCCCAGATATGGCAACAGTATTATATACAAGGCCGAATTTGAGATTTATAGAGATAGAGAATAGAATCTAGAGTAAGAAAGTGACGAGCTCCATAAAGAGAAGCAACTTTAGCAGATGCTAATTTTGCAACGGATTTGATATAAGGTTTCCAAGAAAGATCAGAAGTAAGAGTTAATCCTAAAGATAAAGGGTAGGAGACTCATCAAGTACATTACCGTTCATAAATATAGGAAGTTCTAAGTTATTGCGATAACGATTGGCCGAAAAAAATTGAGTTTTATCTGAATTAAAGTTCACCAGCCACTGCGAGCCCCATGCTGTAGCAGAAGTGAGATCCTTTTCAAGCTCAGATGCCCCCTGCAAGCAATCAGAGGGAGTTAGCTTCTTATCGTGACAAGAATAAATGGTAGTATCATCAGCGAACAATGCCACCTTAGATGTGAGAATATCTGGAAGATCGTTAATGTAAATTAAAAAGAGTATAGGGCCAAGGATTGAACCTTGGGGAACCCCTGAGGTTACAGAATAAGCAGAAGAGTGCTGTCCATCAAGGACAACTTTTATACTACGATTGGAAAGGAAGGATTCAATAATCTTAAAGATGTTTCCAGATACACCATAAGAAGAAAGCTTATGGAGGAGACCAGCATGCCAAACTTTATCAAACACTTTAGAAATGTCAAGAGCAATGGCCTTAACCTCTCCACCTTTATCTAATGCGCGATAAAACCTATCGATTATTATTGATAGCAAATCAGCCGTAGAACGAGAAGATCGAAATCCATACTGATGATCAGAAAGTAGGTTATGAGATTCGAGATTCGAGATTAAGTGTTTGTCAATTAAAGATTCAAAAACCTTGCTTATGATAGGAAGAAGACTAATGGGACGGTAGTTAGATGAATCAGATCGCTCTCCAGAATTTTTAAAAATAGGGATAACAGATGCTGCTTTCCAGCAGGCTGGAAAGCAAGACTCTGATAAGCACTTGTTGAATAGTTTTGAAAAGATAGACTAAAGCTCCAGAGAACACTTCTGCGAAACTATAACAGGTATGTTGTCCAGGCCGCAAGCTATAGAAGAGTCTAAGCAGGAAATCACTTTAGATACAGAAGCTGGAGTGATACGAATGTCGAGCAATGGATCGACCTGTTTGACAGGTATATCAGGTAGAACGCAACTAGTGGCATCAAGAGATGATATTGATGAAAAGTTCTTGGCAAACAATTCAGGTTTGTCTTTAGGCGAGGTGACAAAGTCTGAACCATACAAAAGAGGTGGAATTACAGACTTGCCCTTATTATTGATACTATTAAAGATTCTCCAGAAGTCACGAGAGCCTAATTTTTGTGATGAAATACGAGATTTCATCATCTGAGAATAGCGGGTTTTGGCGTTAGACAAAACCTTTTTACAATGGTTCCTAGCAGTAATAAACAGACGTCTGTTTTCTGGAGAATTGTTTTGCTGATAGATATGGAAGTAATGGTTTCGATTGGCAATTGCAGCAGCACAATGTGAGGAAAACCATGGAGAAGAGTGAGGCTTGACCTGGAATCGTCGAGAGGGAATAAAGGATTCCATGCCAGCCTGAATCCACGAAGTAAGAAGCACATTTGTCAACAGGGAGACGAAAGATTTCTACCCAGGGGCCATCACAAAGAAAGTCACGAAAAGAGTCCCAGTCAGCTTTAAGGTAGTTGTAAGATGTACGATGATAGGGGGATTCTAATGGTAAAGAAGAATGAGATAATAGTTTTAGAGAGACCAAACCATGATCAGACGCACCTAAGGGTGAGTGTGAAGAAACTGAACACTGACTAGGATCAGAAACAAGACATAAGTCGAGTAGAGAAGGTAAATGATTCAGGTTGTCTGGAAAGCGAGTTGAAAAGCGAGTTGACTATTTGAGTTAGGGATTGAGAAAGACAAAAATTGTGGGCCTTAATGCCTGCAGAGTCACTGACACTAGAGCCAAGCCATTAAGTGTGATGAACATTAAAGTCACCGACTACAACAATATTGGCTGATGGATAAAGAATGAGGGCTTGGTCAATATAATCGGAAATAACATCAAGAAGAGTGCAGTCTTGGGATGAGGGAGAGCGACATAGAACAAAGAGAAAGGTGATAGAGTAAAGTGGTGCTAAACGAAAGCACATAAAAGAGTAGTCTGTGGATTCAAACCTAGTTTCCTGACAAATGGGTGAATTCTTACGAATGTAAATGCCCAGGCCAAGCATGTGACTATTGGAGTCTTTACGAATCAAAGGAAGATAACCATCAACACTAAGATCACAAGATGAGACAGTTGAACTGAACACATTTTTAAAACATATGCGAATTTTCAAAACATATTAACAGCCGTGGTCAAGTTAAGTAAAATCAAATAGTATTTGCATGGTCATAATTTGATGTGAAATCGCACACCTTCCTGGCCAAGCCTGTAATATGCTTGGCAAAAAGGCAGACATGGCCCAGTTACGTTTGAATCAGTTTCCTAATTTGATTTTATGGCATTGTAGCAATCACCGATTAGAGTTAGCAGTAAATGATGTTTTGTGCGATATCTTACCAATTTATCACATGAAAAGCTTTTTTGATAAATTATATTCCATTTACAGTGCATCTCCTAAAAAACAAAAAAGAGCTGGAAACTGTTGCTATGGCTTTAAGTTTAAAACAAATTTCCATTGGACGAATTCTAGGCACTAGATGGGTGTCGCCTAGTGCTCGATTTGTGATGGCTGTTTTGGAATAATTAAGTGAAAATCTTGATTCTAGAATGTTTACAACTAGAGCTGCGCATAAATCTTTACAAGACACAGAAAATGATCCAAACAAAGAAAAATACAATAATTTAATAAAAAATTTACAAATTTTTGATAAGCCACAATGGTTTGCAGACCAAGATCCATGCTTTGGAGATAACAATATTAGACAATTAGCAAAAACTTTAAATAATTGTGAAATTACGGCAGTCCAAGGGTTTCGTGAATACATTTCCACTGGTGACTGTAATAAAACCCCTAATGATCTAAATACCTTGATTGTTTCAACAGCTGAATGTGAGCGTTCTTTTTCTACTATGAATATAATCTTATCTTCCTTGCGAAACTCTTTATTAATAAAAACTGTGTTGAGTTTAATGTTCATTTCATTAGTAGGTCAACCAATTACGTATTTCGACCCAAAGGATTATGTCATTAAGTGGTTTGGGAAAGGACATCGCGATGCTAATTTTAGGAATTGTGAAGCGCCGGCATTAAAGTCTATAAATGAAAGTGAAACATTTTGGAAGATATTCCGACTGAATTTTTTTTCAATTATTTAAAAATTGGTAAATACAAAAAAATTAGACTTGTTTAAAAATGAAATGTTTAAATATGCCATTGTTTTTTGATTGCTTAATGGCATTTGATGTGAAACTCAACTCAATATTTTACGGTGACAGTCTCTTAAGAATATGGCGGACCTCAAGTTGTTTTTTTAATATAGGTTTTTTACTATAGGGATACTATAGGGATTTATAATTCCTTTATTTAATCCAGGGCTTGAATTAAGTGATCGCGAATTGCAATATCCGGAAATATATGTGGTCAGTAAATTCTTAGTTTTTTTAAAAACTGTAAACACTGTTTTAATGAAACGATCAGTTTATCATATTGGAAAAATTAATGAAAAAGCAAAACAATAAATTTACTACTGCAAAAATAATAACAGTCAAAATTTACATATTACTAGTTATTGTTTTTTTAAACAATAATTAATAATATGTAATTTAAAGATTATAAATAAAAAAAAAAAAAAGTTGCAAGACAAAAGCTATTATTACTAAAGGTCCGAAAAATTTTCGCGGTAATTTAAAAATCAAACCATTAAAAACTTTGCTTAAGCTATTTGCACATTGTAGAAAACTTTGTAGAAAAAAACAACCAATAAAAAATTATGCTAAAGCTACTTGCGCATTATATAAAACATTAAAATAGATTTTTATTTTGCGAAAGTTTATGGAATTGTTTATTTAAAAATTTAATTGTTTTAAATTAGAATTTAATTATTTAATAAGAAAAAAAATTATAAAGCATATTTTTTTTAAATATGTTATTAGAGTTTCTTTTTTTTTGTTTTAAAGTAACTATTAAAAAATTTAAATTAGTTTTAATTTATATTAACTCCTATTTTATTAACTATTATTTTAGTTTATATTAACTCCTCCGTCTTTTAATTTTATATTCGTATCAGCTAAAGTGCTACAAGCATTAAATTTATAAGAAAATATTGAATGAGATTTAAATAACATATAAAAGTATTTTATATCTTAATTAACAATTTCTTTTATTTAAATATTCGATCACTGTTAAAGTCCTTTAGATTGTTGTGATTAGCGCTTATTTTTTAATATTTATATTGTACTTTATCGTGCTTTATTTTTTTAGTTTTAACTGATGTTTTATAAAATAAATTAAAATATTAAAGTTTAAATTATAATCTTTAATTATAATAAAAATAATAGTGATAATACGGTTTTACATTAAGATTTTATATCATAATCGACGTAAACATTTTTTATTAAATGATATCTATTGAGTTTAGTGATAAAACAGTTTTACGGTTTTCAAAAAGCTAAAATTTTAAAGACCGGAAGCATTTCCAGAATCGCAATTCGCAACCACTTAATTCGAGCCCTGTAATTTACACAAAATACGAAATCTATAAATTTAGGATAGGTGGGATGGTGATTAGAAAATATTAAAAACCATCCCGCTACCTTTTTTTCCTACTTCGAGCACTGTAGGGGGATGTAATATTTTAAATGTAAACATAGAGGGGATGTGATATTTTAAGTACCCAATACTAATTGTCTAAAATATTGCATGAATTAATTAGGGGATGTAATATTTTAGAAGTAAACATAGGGGGGATGTGATATTTTAAATTGGTTTTTGCATCTTTAATGTGATATATAAAGAGCTTGCACTGGGGGGTTGTGTTGCTCAAATAAGAAAATACAATTATTTTGCAAAATGGGATTAATTATGTTGGGGATTATTTTAAAAGCCTGCATAAGGAGATTTGAGTATAAGACCTATGTTTCAATAATAATTAAAAAAAACAGTTTAGAAGATTTAACTTTTTTAGGACTTTTAGCCACAGAAGAAAAATTCTGGCCCACTGTGCAATGGTATAAAATTATACAATAAATTGAAGTTGCTTTACAAGAAGGGATTCAAAGAAAAAGGTTTATAAATATTAGTTTGCAGAATTTGAACTCTCTTTATTGTGATTTTTTACTATGATCTTAAATAGCATTTAAATAAGCTAAATATATTAAATAAATAAATAAAAAATAACTTCCATGGATATACAATATATTGCAAATACTATAGTAAGGGATATACCCCATTTAAAATAATATAGCTTATCGATAATATGTTTATTGCACACACTAGTTACTAGTATGTGCAAAAAACATATTATCTACTGTAATCAGTTTCTTTACTAGTCTAGTAAAGAATAGTAACAATATATTTCCAGTAAAATTATTACATGAGCCCCATAAATAAAGTAATATTTACACTGGATGGTTCACTCTCATATAGTACTGCTAAAACAAGGACAGCGACCATGAAAATTGAAAAACATATACATAACAAAAAAATCACATACTTTTAAGATTAAATATTAAAACCAAGATTAAATATTATTAAATTTCAAGATTAAATATTATTATTAAAACCAAGATTAAATATTATTAAATTTCAAGATTACATATCTGAAAAACAAAAACATGGATAATCAAAATAAAAAGAAAAAATGAAAAATAATAAAAAAGATATACTTCAACATAACAACCAATAAAATTGTTGTCTCATAAAAATTCTTGATTTACAAAATAGGATTTGAGTTTGTTTTTTAGTTTGCGTTTTTTTAACTGGTAACTGGTTAGTTTGAAGGTGATTCTAGTCTTTTATTGCTGAGTGCATAAAGGAAGATTTGCCAAAGAATTTAGTATTATACGATGGAACGAATAATCCACCTCTATGTGAGATTCTTGTCAATTTAGTATGCAACTTATTTATTAAGGAGAACCATTCGCTAAAAATAGATGGAAGCATATTATTTAGGCAGCCATGTATAAACAGGTAATTAGCAATTTTGATGTGGTCATAAAAACTTATAATTTTAAGGTCTTTGTAAGAACTCTTAGTATGGGAATTATGAGGTGGAATTTAATTATCCTTTTAGCTCTTTTAGTATTATTAGTATTAGTTTATGCTAAGAATGGTATTGCTACCAGTGAGTGTGGTTTTAAAGTACACTATGAAAGCTGAGTCTTGTGATGGTTTGACTCCAATCGATCAATTCTTGCTTTAAATAAGTTGACTGAATTAGCTTTAACAACGTTTTCTGGCAGTGCATTCCAATAATTTGCAGCTCGATTTAGTAAAATATTTTCTCTATATTTATGTACAGAAAATTCTTTAGAATACTTTAGGTTATGACCATATTTTTTTAAAAAATATTTACTTGTTTTAGAATGGGTGAATTTTGCCTTGAAGATAGGCAGCAATATGTTAGGTGAGAGTTGAATAAAGCAAAACAAATTGATTTTATAGTTTTTTCATTAACATAATATTTTAGTTTAGATAAGATAGCATTGGATCTGTTTAGTTTAACTGATAATTCATTTAAATGGCATTTCCAAGTTAAACTCTTGTCTATTTTTAATCCAAGATAGTTTAAACTCCTTTGAAGAAGGAAAGAAGGAAGAAACTGATTACAGTAGACTAACAGTTATTGGAATCACTGAAAATTTATCGTAGTTTTATTAAGTGTGGCACATAAAAAGATACAATTTTAAATTTAAACTTTGATTAACACTTTTTGCTAACTGGCTATTACTAGTCTAACATTTTTTTCGCAGTCAACATGTTGATGTTTATAAACTATGCATGCATCTGTCATAATTCAATAAAGTCATTAGCTTTTGCATTACATAGAAGCACTAGAAGCACGATGCAGGCTTTTTGAAGTTAGTATTGCATACCAACTTTAATGTGTTTACCAATGATTGGTAAGCACATTAAAGTATTGAATTCCAAATTGAGTTTAAATTAAACTAAATTAAGTATGCAATACTTGCATACCTAGCGTCACTTTCTCATAATACCAAAAGTCACTTTCTGAAACTCATAATACTATTTTTCTGCGACTCACAGAAATATAACATTGTCATTATGTCATTTTATGTCAGAAATAAAACAGAATTCACTTTTTTCAAAAAACACTTACTTTCTTATTATAAGACACAACTGTTACACTATTTCTTTGACGCAGAGGATGCCAATGAGCTTTTGCAAACTGTGCAATAAATTCTTGTGCTTCAGCTGCTGTTTGGAGGCATTGTCCCTTATGTAACTCCATTTTCTTTTTTTAATTTTAAAATGTTGATGTTAAGTTTTAAATTTGTGTTTCACCGAGTTTTGCCTCGTTACATAATATAATAGACGTTAAAAAGACGCTTAGAATTTTAATGGGACGGACGGACCCGATTTGAACGTCCTAAGGACGTCTTTTATACGTCATGTGCCTACTGGGATTGTGCATTAATTGCTCTAGAATTTTAGAAAAATATGGGAGTATTGAAATAGGGGAAAGCGGGGCAACATGGCGAACGTTTTGAAAGCCCTGAATTATTGAAAAACTATAAGTCGTGAAGCCATAAAACTTTCTCAGTATGTTTATGCTATTAAGTTCTTTCATTCCCAGCGGGCACGGAAACGCCCATATGACGTCGAAAGGACATCTATTTAGGACGTTCAGAACTGGTTCTAAATGGCAACGCCAGATGACGTCTTTTTAAGACGTAATTAGGACGTCTTTTTAGGACGGAATAAAGACGTGCTTTGAGACGTCTAAAAGACGTGAATTTAGGACGTTCAGAACTAGTGCAAAATGGAAACGCCGAATGACGTCTTTAAATAACCTAATTTAGACGTTCTTATTTCGACGTCTAAAATACGTGTTCTAACATGGCTTCACTTAAACGTAAGGTTCAAATATATGTTTTTACAGAACTTCTTGAGAATAAGAAAAAAATAATAAATCATTCAAATTTTTTAATAATATAATTGTGCTGAGTTTTGTAAATTACAACTTTGTAAACTTCTTCTTCCACTTGTTAATTTCCAAGAATCGAATTTTCGAACAGTTGACGTTATTCACCTTCTTTTTGATCAGATGCACTCTTTAAAATATTGCCACCAGCATTTTAAAGTTTTTTTTTTGCTGTAGGAATCGGGAAAGCAGTCTTAACCTTAAAAAAATATTGTTAGGATAAGTATGTTAAATTAAAGGGGAAAGAAATAAATAACACACATATATATAATTATTAATTTATAAACATAACATCAAACATCTAAAAATACGAATTTCTCAACACTAAATTTATTTTTTTAAAGAAATTTTTGACTGGATTGTTGTGACCAGCGTATATATTTATGTATATCAAGTATGCAATATAATTGCGGTATTAAAAATGCTCTTTTTATAGTATAATTATACTTACTTTGAAAGCATGCCCTTCTCAAATGCACTGCATGATGAGCCACCAACATTAAATAACTTCTATTTCTAAATTCAAAAGATAACACTAGTGTAATTGATATGGGACAATTTAGTGTAAGTTATATTGGGCATAGGAGCAATTCATTAGTGTTTTATTCAATTCAAAAATTTTGTGTAAATTATGTTTACTTGTAAAGTGAGCATTATGTATATAATTA